AACTAAAGAAGTAAAGCAAACAGTTATATCTTCTAGTTGTACTCAGTCACTGTTTGATGTAGTTTGCTAAGACTTTAAAAAAACTGCACATGGAGGATATGAAACAAAATATTTTTTTAGGTTTTATATATATATATTTGAATAACTAAAAAATCATAAATTACTACATTATATTAAGCTTGATAAATAAGATGTATTTTAGTCTAAAAAACATATAAAATTTCAAGCAGACTAAAGACACACCCTACCTCGTTGAAATATTGGTTCAAAAGAAAGAAATGGTGCCAAGACCGTTGAAATGGCTGAGAAAGCCACTAGGGGGACATTCTGAGCTTCCAATTGGTTGTTCATGTCATATATAAAAGTGTACATTTCCAAAAATGGAAAGAGGTGGGTGGGGGTGCCACTTTGATTTATTACATGAGCAATACCTTACCAATATCTTATATTCTAGCTTGTCAGTATCGGTAATGTGAGTTTCTAATTGATTTGAAAATATAGACTTAGTATTTTGACTTTACAAACATCTCATTTCAACCAGTGCTGCATTCAACATACCACGTGACACACAAAAATGGATGTTTGTTTTTTAATATTGGCTTTTTAAATTACGAAATTGAGTAATATATAGCACTAAAATTTGAGTTATAATCTACAGATTGATACCAAACATATTGACATAAATTCATGAAATAGTAGTTCAATAAAATTTTGAATGCAGGTCAACAAACGAGATGACATGTCCTTTCACCCGTGGCTTGTCTTGAAAGAGTTAAATGAAATGAATTGTAGTCTTGTTTATATTACCATTTAGGATTTTACCTGAGTAGCAGCTACATCTGATTACTGTTTCACTAATGTAGATTACTTGTTGCAGGCAATCATGAGAACAGCAATGAAGTACAACCTGGGCTTGGACTTGCGTACAGCAGCCTATGTTAACTCTATTGAGAAAATATATGGAACCTATGTGGCTGCAGGTCTCACCTTTACCTAAACTTGTTTTGTTTGTATTTTGAAGTTTGGTTTAAAGCATATTTATAGAAATCTAAAACAATTTGTTACTTATAGATAGTTTTTATCTTGTTTTAACCCATATTTTGAGTGTGTATGGACAAACATCTACAAGCAAATGGGGAATAATTTCTTTTTTCAGCTTCCAAAAGAAAATAACTTTATAACCATTGATTAAAACCTGTATACACTTCAGAAATAAAAGTTTTTCAAGTAATTGCAGAAAATATGCTGATGGTACAGTTATTTGAATTTTTACACAATAAAAAGGGAGAATGAATTTTTTATAACTGTTTAAACATAACATAAATTAAGTCAGGGAAAATTAGCAAAAAAAAATTCTATGTTGAGTACAAGATTAGAATATTAAGAAAAACTTCAGAGCCAATCTGTCCATAACCATTATTTACTAAATGATAAATTTCAACTGTAGAATTGTGGCTTTGAAAATGTTCTTTCCTGTGTATTTGTTTCTACGAATAGGCATATCTGGAAAAGCATTGTAATGTCATCATTCTTTCTGTGTATGGTAAGAGAGGTTACTGATGTTGAGTGTATGTTTGCTCAATTTGATGAGAAGGGATTCTTCGATTTTCCAATAATAAGCCTTGCCCAGAATTTGATGTTGGGTCAAGTTTATATTATGGCCTGTTTTGAAATAACATTCTGCCAATGCTGATTATTCTGGATGTGTCAGTAGTTTAATTCCTTTGTTCTTTTAGAATTTCTTTGGTGGTTCAACCTGTTTCTGCAGTGTACACATTTCTAGATGAACATGTATTTTGTATATTAGTTCTTTTTGTTTTAATTTGTGAGGTGTTTCATGTTCATTAGGGTATCCTGGAGGGGTTTTCCACATTTGAAATAAACTTTTATATTGAACTTTTGTCATAACCTTTTGAGTTTCTTACCTATATAGAGATATGTGGTAAAGTAAGTTTGTTTTATGTTGGTCTTGTTGTTAGGGCTGGGAGCTCTTTTTTTTATTTTACAGCTGAGATGAAGCTGGGTTGGGTAGACAAAAGCTAGAATTTCATGAAGTACTTGCTTTTTAATAGATGAACAGATGTTTTGAGTATGAGAAGGTGAAACTTAGTGTATTAAATTTCCTGCCCCTCAAGAAGGTGGTAACACACACACACACACACAAATAAAAAAAAATTAATAATTATGAAATTGAAAATTATTCTTTGGGGTCAGTTATAACTTGGTTTATACATAAATGAATATAAACTTCCAATTTTATTTACAACTAAACCACACATGGTTATGGCAACAAAAAAATTAGACCTAAACTATACAAAAATTTGACATAGTTTCTTCTCTTGGACTGTTTAAAGGAAACATCAGGCAAATCATGAATTCAATTTTTATAGTTACTTTTCATGATGCAACACGAGTATGCTCCACTTCATCAGTATCAGTGTCATCATCTTCCTCAGTCTGTTGTTCAAGCGTTACTTCTTCAGATTTTAAAGTATTAGGATCCTTATAACCTTCAAGATATTCCCAATGTGGTATCACAAACTTTTCTTGAGATGGTTCAGAAAAGAGTAGAACACGGGTGATGAACGGAGCTGCAAAATTTTACAGATTTATGTCACTTGCAAACTTCTATTTCAGTATTGATGTTATAAAGTTACACAAACAACTACTATAGCGTACAGACAGTACTTAAACAACACCTTAATACTTTCATTTAAAATTTATAACAATTGTCAATAAAACAATGTATAGATATTCCAGTTCTTGGCACTGTTAAAATTTTTCAACCCTGTCATAAACTTTTTACAATCAGTGAAGCTTGGGTTAACTTTATAAATATCTTGAGAGGTAACCAAGAATAAGAACTAAATATCATTGTTCAGATAAGAGTTTGTTTAAGTAATTACCCGTGACTTATCATGATTCACTTTATTCCATATTGATTCCCTGACTTGTTCATATAACTGTAAGAGGTGATCTACACATCAGCTTGATATGTTGAACTTGCATTAAATAAAGACGGAAACTGGTGTAAAACACTAAGTAGTGATAGCTTTCAAGCCTGACAAGAGTAATTAAAAATTCACTTTGTCCAATGATTTTATTTTTCTCATTCCTCTTATCCTTCATGGATATCTAATCAGAAGCAAGTACAAATAACATTTCAGATTAACCTTTGTCAGCCACAAATCACTGACCACGAGGCCTTTTCTTCAATACCCATACTTATTTATTGGTGTAGTTTCTTGAGTTTTATCTCTTAGGTTTTTGCTTTAGTAAAGTTCATTTAATGTGATAAAAATACAATATATATATATAATATGTGTGGATATAGCAGCCAAACATGCATTTTTCTGCATCAGTATAATTGAACCGAGTAAATAAACTATTTATCAGAACTTACTTTTAATTTATTGTTTAAATTATAAAAAAACTCAAAGTACCAGTTGAAGAGGAAGACAATGGCAACATACAGAGGCTTCATAACAGTACATTAGACAAAAATATTTAATAAAACAAAATTAATTGACATGGAATTACAGTAACATTCTTATTATATCACTAAATTAAATGTGAACATGCAAATTTTATAAAAAGAGTAAATGCATGCTGAAGACACAAGGAGAGATTAATTTTATTCTGTGAGTCTATCTACGGTCAGTACATATTTAAAAGTAGAGCTGTTCACTAGTTATAGAAATATGTAAAAATTCATGACTGATGGTTGGTTGAAAAAATCAATCATATATCATGTTAGTCTTTTTTTTTATCTTTGCAATGCAATCCAAATGTTTATACAAAAATAAAATGTTTTGTATTCTATTATTAGTGAATTTTAAAAGCAACTGAATATTGGGACTTGAAAAGTAGAATATATATATAAAATAATACAATTTCACTTTTGAAATAAATAATTCAGCATCAGAAAAAAAAAACGAATACACACATACATTTACTTTCAAATATTAAATTTCTCAATTCTCAATGTAACACAATTTAAAAACCTTTCTCACTGAATACTTCACCTCAAAAAATAAGCTTTTATATTTGCTTATGGCATTTCTTCTGGAGTGTAATTTAAATTAGGTATATCTGTGACAGGTTTTACCCATTGAAATGTTGCAGCAATGGAAGAAATTACTTGAAATATGTTAAAAGCTAAAATTTTATGCCTTTCAACTTGTTTGGGTTTAAAAAAAAAATATATTTATCTACACAAAATTTATTTTAAAAAATAAAAATGTGCAATGAAAATACAAATCGCATGCCCCAACCATTATAGATATTTTTAGTACTTTGACTTTAACATGGAACCATCATTTATTTTATTAAATCCAAAGTGCTTCCAGACTTTAACATTGGTTGTTATTTTCAAGATAACTGAAAATTTGTTTCAGTCATAGCTTTATTCTATTTCCTGATTTTCTCAAGCCCCTCAAAGTATTTTGATTACACGCACTGACCTATCTATAACATAAATCGGCCATTCTGGAACTGTAAACGCGATTTGCAACTGCACAACTTTTGTCTAGATTTCTTGCTTAAAGTAGGAACTCTGAGATAAGGTCAAATCAAGGATATGAAAACCATGACTGATTTGAAGGCCAAATGCAAAAGACAGCTAATTGTCAGTGAAGTCAACTGAACAGAATTCCTGTCTACTGGTGGCCAAACAAACCCTTTTCTTTAATAAACATTTCCACACTACAATTGGATGTACCAGTAAGAGAACTGAGAAAAAAAAAGCCAACATTTTGTGAAATATGTTGTACATGTGTCAAGTTTGGTTTGTTTTATGGCAAAGCTACTAAGGCCATCTCTCACTGCCCCTAATTTTGAACTGCTGACCACAGGTTAACCAACCAGTCTGCAGCATCCATTACCAACTCTTGGCCTACTTTTCACTAAAGAATAATTGGACTGACCATCATTTTATAAAACCCCCATGGCTGAAAGGGCAAACATCCTTGGCACTGGGTTTTGATCCTGTGTCCTGCAGATTGCAAGATGAATGCCCAAAACTCTAGGCCATATGTGTCAAATAAAATTTAAGGCTATGATATATATATATACTGGGTTGAATCCCCTGTAAACAGCACAGTTCCGGATAGTAGGAATATTTATTTCATTTACTCATCTTTGACTCAAAATGGCATTAATGCAAACTATGCTTAACTACCATGGTGGGGCTTATATAACATCACTATTTGGATTTCAATTGTAAAAATATTAAGATTTCTTGTATTTTCAACATAAGTGAAAGTTTCTGAGAAAAATAATATACTTTTTTTAAGGGCATTAAAATTTTTCTACAGAATGTTTTGCAGTCTAGATGTACCCACCAAAAATCACCTTGTAGTTATTGCAAGTTAACATAATTATTACTGTTAAACACAGTTTTAATAACAGTCTTTGAAAACAAATTTAACCTACCTGCCACACCTTTTGGCTTGTGAGTTTCCACCTGGTTTAAAACAGTGAAAAGGTTCTGCTGGAGTTCATTAGTTTCCATATTTAACTGTTTGGAATATAATCTTTTTAAAAATTTTTCATTTTTGCTAAAGCATTATGACTTAGAATGAATATGATAGTATTAATTAATATTTCATATTGTGACCCAGCTGTAAACTCTCACAATTTTCTTTTTAAACTAACATTAAGATCAAAGTGAAGTATTTTTATCACTATTAGCTATAACCATTTACTCAAACATCCTGAGCTTACTGAAACACTGTTAACATTATTATTTTTAGCTAAAATAATAACTTCAACTGAGAATGTTAGGTTCCGAATCACAAAAACATAAGAACAGAAAGAACTTAATTTTTATATTCAGAACTGAAATTTATATCAAATTTTTAATCATAGGAAAACCACAATTAATTGGTTAAATTTTACTTTGAAAATATATCTCAAAAAAACCTCCTGCTAGTTTCCCTTTGTCTAGCTAAAGTACTGGCCTTTGGGTTTTTGCTGCCCAAGGGGGAAATATTTTTCTACCCTAAGCAAATTATAAAAACATGCTGCTGGGTTTGCATAGGTTAAGTCTAATTAAAGAATACGTACTAAAATTGTGTTATATTTTACATGGTACAACATGTACAGTTATAATTACATGCCAAATGAACATATTTTAAATTGTAAATTCCATTAGGACTCAAACATTAATGCAACAAAATAAACATAAAATATATATAATTTTCACTTAAAATTTCACTTTTCAGACTTTAAGTGAGACAAAATCTTGAACAAGCCCTTCAAAACCAGTCACTCAGTCATCTAATACTCAACCATTTTATTGGAAATGTGGTACAGGATGGTGCCATGTGTATTTCATTCTCTTAGTTAATAAGTATATCAATCTGATGGAAAGACCAACTTAATGCTTCCATTTTATCATGGATCTCAGATAAATTTTGATTAGCTTCAGCTTTGTTCTCCACAAGCAAGTGTGATGGGTAATGTCAGAAAAATTCTCAGTGCAACATAAGCATTTAGGAATAGAGAGATTAATTTGTTTTCTACAAGATACTCCAATGCATGAATTGGAATTGTACTTGGTGATGTGAGTGCTGATAACACTCACAGAACCTCAGTATATTCATTTATCAGTTCAGATGTTGATCTGTAAGAGCATTATTAAGGTACATGCTGTACTTTGTAATGTCATAGAAACATTAACATTTTCCTTACCTGAAACATATTACTGATAAGTACCTTTTCACAGCATTTTAGCTATATTCCTCAGCATGTTATGCATCTGCCAAAGGGATATACTGCTAGCCTTGAGGCAACTCACACCTAATTTCATGTGATTTTATGTGAATTGCACTACTGCATGATGATTTTATCATGCAACAAAAGCCCTCCACCAATAGAAGGGCAACATACCTCCATGCACAATAACTCCCAGATATTTTTGCTCTCGTGAAATTTCATTCTTCAACAAGGAAGTAAGGAGTGTTATGTAATAAAGACCATTATTGAGTGTGATTACCTCGAATCTCCTGAATACATATTGGCTGCAGGAGGAGGTCATATGAAATATAGATATTTATTTATTTTGTATATTGAGTGCTCATTGCTATTCAACTAAACAGATTTTATGGGATAGACTATCTGCAGAAAGTGGGCACTGTATTATGCTGCATATGTCCAAATATAGTGCATGCACACCTTAGTTATACTGAACAGACTGGCTTCAGGAGGAGGGCACATGTGGCATGAGTGATGTACCTGCATTATATGTAGCGTGATCTGCACTATACAAATGGTGTCACCACTGCCCCACTTCTCACCATATTGACACCCTGTGTTCTAGCCCCAGTATGTAGGTTCCAATCGGTGAGGATTCTCCATAGTTCATTTCCCCAACAGCTAGGAAATGGTAAGCAGCGAAGGTTTTCTTTACTCCATGAAAGTGGAGAATTCACATTGTGGATACCTAGATATGGTGCCTGGATCCCCATCAGTTCTTCAGTCCAGAAAGGGCTTTTACAGGAAGAGGGTGCAAGAAGCATCTAGAGGATAGACATCAGAAACACAGTAACCACAAGAAAGAAGTAGAAGGAAACAAATCAAGTTAGAAAGACAGTAAAAAGGCAAATAGTCAACAGCTCAAATGGGGCATGCACAAGATCGAACTAAACCTCAATGAGGTCTCAATCAGGCAAGGGAGCAGATCAAGGAGGTCAGAGTAGAACGAAGGAGTGGAACAGACCAAAGAGGACAAGGGAAGAAGCACTTCTTGGTATGAGGAGAGGAGAAAGGCCATAGACAGAACCACCCAACAACTAGTAAAGGCTAAGACTGAGAATCCATCAGTGAAAAGTCAAGTATAACAGGCAAAAAAGTGGTGCAAAGAAGTACTGCCAGGATGAGATGGATGGCAGAAGGATCAAAGACAAAAGACCTGTCACAGATGGTGAAAGACATATACTGTGGAAGGGCAACAAGAATGTGACAAGAATAATAAAACATTAGTGGAAAATCCAGCCCAATGGTGACAGATTAGGCAAATTCCATGCATGATGATGGAGGGAAAATAATCTTCTATGAAGAAGGGAAGTGAGAGAGTGTGAAGCAAGTGAGAGAGGGGGGATAATAGTGAGAGGAAGAAAGGACACAAAGATGTTCAAGAGAAACATGTCCAACCAAGAGTAAACCTCATGGAAGATCTGGGGGGTCTAAAGGCTATTCCATTGACAGAATAAGGACTGGCTGAAAGAGGCAGCCTGCCAACATGATGGAAGTTCCCAGCAAATGATGTGAATGGGCATAGAAGCATGCAGTTAATGTCCTAAAACAAAAAGTCCCTGGAACAGGAGCCACATGTATGGTTGGAGCAAGGAAGGGCCATGGAAAAGACTGATTGGAACATGATCAAGTGGACCATCAGTAGAAGCAGGAATGGGAACATGCCCAACAAAATGAAAGAAGGTTGAGCACACTGATGGAGGGTGTGGACTCTGCTCCAACATCCAAGCATCAGTAGATCCACCCACATGAAAAATGTACCTCAATCAGAGAAAGAGAAGCGTCAAGGGAGGGGGATTTGGTTTGAGAGGTTGTAAGGGAATGCAGGAAGTAGGACAGACATGGTCCAGTCACTGTGACAATAACTATAGGGTAAATTCACCAAAGAGGGCAAAAGACCCAAAGGAAAAAAACCATGGATCCAAAAGGAAAGTGTTCTAGAGAAGCCAGTCTCCAAGAGGGAAAGAATCTCTGATGCAAGGAGAGAACAAGAGATGGAAAACTCAGTAACTAGATATGCCATAGTTTGCAGGCAAAGAAGACAAGCTGAAGTCAGTTAAAATGATAGAAGAAAGAAATGCCCCAAAGTACCCAACATTGAGTGGGTGTGAGAAAGGACTTAGTTCCTAAGTCCCCCCCCCCCATAACTGATCAGTTACCATAAAAAGAGGGAGGCGGAAGAAGTTTGTTTGTAGTTAAGCACAAACCTACACAAAATGCTATCTGTGCTCTGCTTATCAAAGATATCAAAATCTGATTTCTAATGTTGTAAGTCTGCAGTCATACTGCTGTTCCACTGAGGGCGCCAGGAGAAAAGAAAACATTAGAGAATTGGTTAGCAGATATAAACAGACAAAAAAAAAAGAAATACCAGCCAAGGGTTGTGAATATGGTAACTAAAGGCCCTCACAATACCAAAGAATACAAAACGGAGCAATGCTAAATTGAAAGGAAAAGCAAGGAATGGGAAGATGCAAAAAAAGATGGACAGGACATTGAAAATAAAGTGAAAACAGGCCAAAAAAGACATATGAGAAGGTGTATGACTCACTGACCATAACTAACTGCAGATTAGATAAGAAAGACCACAGATTAGCTTGGAGGGAAGGGAAAAGGAAATGGAAAGAAAAGCAAAGAGGAGTTAGGAAAAGACTAAAAGTGGAGAAATGGAAAAAAACTGTTTGCAGAAATTGAGACCAATAGCAGGAGAAGAGAAAGTATCTCACAGAATTGTTCATGTGTGACAGTCACTGGCAAGAAGAGTGATGAATTAGACTTCTGGTAGATGGAAGGTGAGAAAAAAATGGAGGATGGCCTGGAATCCAGAATGGAAAGGTGAGAAGGAGACCATACTAGATGAGGAATAGAAGTAAAGGGCATTATCGAGAAAGAGTAAAAACTGGGAATAGAATGAGGACAGATCAGGTCATCTGGAGGAAAAAGACACCACTGAAGACACCTCGGCAAAGAAAAGGAGCCAGATGAATATTACATACACAAGATGAAGGAAGAGGTACAGTATAGTGGAATGCAACCTGACCCAATGATTCCTGAAAACAAGGGAACAAAGTACAGGGAGATAGAATAGAAGTGGAACAAGCCAAACAGAGAAGGGAACAAACATCCACAGAAGCCATCAAAGGCACAAAAAAGTGCCATAGATAAAAGGTGGACAAAAAAATGCAAAAATGGGGAATTACAAAGTGAAATAAAAGGTAAAGGGCTCAATCTCCATGCTGACCAGATAAATACCAATGAAAACGAAACGAGAAGTGGAAGTAAAAAAGTCTACAAATCAGGACAGAGGAAGTCGCAAATGCAAGGGGGACGAGGTGTGTTGGCAGGAGAAAGGAGTTATTAAACAAAGAAAACAACAGAAAACCTAATAATGGTTGAAAACGACTTGAATGGGTAATGAAGAAAAACTTTAATATAAGTTTAACATAAAAGCAAATGTACAATGTTTCGACAAGGTTTTGTCATCATCAAGTACAAGTAATTTACACTGACATGGATATATATATATATATATACAGTATTGATCATAGAGGTCACATGACTGGATACTGTTGCAAAACTTAGAAGAGGTATCTTGGCACCCTGGGGTGTTGGTTTAGAGTAGGGTTGTTTTGTTCAATTATGATGGATTCCTTGATTTTTCGTTTGTTTATGCTTGGTTCTTTGTTTACTATGATTGTGTTTTTAACACAAGCCATACATTCTGCACTTCATCCCCCACTATAGTGGTACAGATATGTCGATGACACTTTTGCTGGTTTCACTTCTCCAGAACACACACTAACTTTCTTTAAACACATAAATTCCATTCATCTCAACATCAAATCTACCATAGAATACGAAAACAATAAACAGCTATCTTTTCTTAACCTCAAAATTATTAGATCGGACACACACACAGTTTAAAACCAAAATTCACCGCAAGAACACACATTGGCCTCTACATCCCCTAGAATGTAGCTCATGACACCACAAAAAAATCAATACACTTAAAAATCTCATAAACACAGCCACAAGACTGTTCAACGGACTACATAAATGAAGAAATTAACCACATAAAGCATTCCTTTATTCACACCAATAAATTCCCACCAGCTATTGTTAAAAAATTCTCCAACATTCCCCACAACAAAACTCAACTCATGAACAAAATTGATAATAACAATCATAACAACAGTACATTACACTGCAGTTTACCTTTTGTTCCTGAAACCAGCTCAAGAATTATCCACACTTGGACAAAACTAGCCATTAAACACAATATTCCTGTCAACGTCAAATTCTCACAAAAACCCAGCCCTAAATTAAAATCGTTACTAAACAAAAATTATTTAGAATCACACAGTACCAACGTCATTTACAAAATAACATGGAATAACAACCCAGAATTCTACATCGAAGAAACAGGAAGAAAATTGGAAACCAGATTGACAGAACACAGTAAAAACCCATGTTTTTCACCATTGCA